CTTTCAAGCCGGTCAGAGATAATCCCTCACCCTGGCACTGGGCAGGCAACACACCATGCGAGACTCTCTATCCTGCTTACAAAGGATACTATCTATCCCCCTAATTATAGAATCCCCTACAACTACCACCTGTCTTTTTGCTCCCTCCTCTTGAATGGCCTCCCGTACCACAGTGCAGTGGTCAGTTGGCTCATCCTCCCTGCAGCCCTTTTCCTCATCCACACAGGGAGCAAGTACCTTGTACCTGTTGGACAAGGTCAAGAGCTGAGCCTCCTCTGTTCCTGACTGCAGGACCCCTGTACCTGCCTTGCTTACAGTCACACCCTGCTGTACCTGGCCTCTGACCAAATTTGAAGTATTTAATCTACCAGGTGTGACTGCCTCCTGAAACAAAGCGTCCAGATACTTCTCCCCCTTCCAGATGTGCCGCAGTGTTTGAAACTCTGATTCCAGCTCATCAACTCTGAGCTGAAGTTCCTTGAGTAACACTTGCTGCAGACGTGGTCACTGCAGTTCACAATGGGATCAGCCAGCTCCCACATCAACCAGCTACAACACATCACCTGTCCAGCCATTTCTACTTAGTTAATTACTTTATTAATTTATATAATTTATTATAATGAGTTAATTAAATTTGTTGATACTTCTTTCCTGGGTTCTTTTACAAATTTAGTGCAGATTTCCTACCAGCCAATCAGGTCACAGCCTCCCTGTGATATCACTCCAGTTTTTTTTGCAGCTAGTGCCCCAAGCTCTGGTACTCTTATACTCGCCTCTGCTCTGCTGCTCCTCCCTCCAACAGCTTCCCGCCATAAAAAAAGGAAAAAAAGTCACCTTATTGACCCTCCACACTTTTTTTTTGGTTAGAGGAGGAGGATGGATGGGAGACATTACACGTGTAATGTTTCGGGTTTAGCCACTGCCGGAATATATGATTTTACTTACCCAGCAGTCCCCTCGCTCTCTCCCGACTCCCGCCGCTCAGCAAGGAAGGCATGTGGTTGGCAAGTGACATGGATGACCAAGAGTGATTATTATGAGATTACTTTTGGAGGCATGATGATCTGCATGATATTTTAAAGATCCAGGCTTGGAATTTCCTCAGCTCTTTCAATAAAGTTATGACATTGGAATAAGTGTATCTCTGAGAAATTTCCTAGCCTTTTACAATATCTTAATCTGAAGGAAACTATATGAAGCATTGAAGTTTCTAAAATTAAACGAAGTGTGTCAATGATGTTCTTATAAAAGTGTCTGGATTTCTTATAGAAAAGCATTGCCAGTTTATTTGGATTTTTCAATTATGGCTTTCACATACATGTTTTTTTCTTCCAAATACATGTAATGTTAGGCATAGCTATTTAAAACCCAATGTAGTAATTTTCACATACAACCGCTGTTCTTGAGCTCACTGCTATTTTGAAACTATTGATCAATTTTTGTTAACTTTCTCAGTCAATAACTATGTACTGATGGTGTGGTAGTCTACATAAATGTTAACCACAAAGGAAGAAACTACACAATGCTTTCTCCAGATGGTTTTATTCTACACAATTAATCATTTTTATACAAACACTTTCTTTCATACTAATACATAAAAATTAGAAAAAGCGGTTTAAAAATCACACCATATCAAGTTTGTATTCTTAAAAATCTATGGGAAGAAACATTGGATCCTACAAGGTTTTCCGTTAAAGTACAAAGACCTAGAAGAAAGTCTCTGCCTTAGCTGCCTGCAATAAACCAGTCATGTCATCTTGAATAGCAGTGCAGAAATTTAGAGCAAATGGAATTGTTCTTATCTAAAAAATTCATTGTACAATTTCCTGGGGAACAAGGTGTTCATTAGATGAAAAGCTGACCTTTTGGCTTTGGGGAGTGAATCCAAAACTAATCCAGACTAACGGGATGGAAGTCTTCTGTCTGTCGTCTATAAAGGGTCTAATGTGAAGTAATTTGGAGCAGCTTCAACCCAGATTTTAAAGACTGCGCAAGTTTGACACTTAACTGGAAATCTGACACTGACACTACAGTATTGCTGGTGCTGGAAATGGAAGGATATCACACAGGCACAGTCTGGTTTTTATGATAAAATAATAAAATGTTTAATTCCCAACACTACCATGAGAATGTAAGAACAAGAGTAAACCATACAGCCCATCAATCATGCACAACCTTCAGTAAGATCAAGGCTTAACTTTTGTTTCAACTCCACTTTCCCATTCATTTTACTTTTAAATTAATTATTGGATGTGATCATTTCTGGCTTGGTCAGTATTTATTGTCCATCCCTAAATTATCCTTGAGAAGGTTTTGGTAGATTGCCTTATTGAACTGTTGCCATCCATAGCAGTTGCATTTACTCACAGAGCTGTTAGGAAGGTAATGACACTTTTTTTTTTACCAAATAACAGTGAAGTAAGTTTGATAACAAGTCCATCTCAGGATAGTGTGTGATTTGGAGGGGAACTTTCAAGTAGTTGTGTTCGTAGGCATCTGCTGTTCTTGTCCTTCAAGTGTTAAAGGTCATGAGTTTGGAAGGTGTTGACAAAAGAACTTTGGTGAGTTACTGCATTTCCAAAAATCTGCTGCTTCTGTGCTTCGTTGGTTGGGGAGTGAATATTGAAGGTGGTGGATGTGTTGCCAATCAAGCAGACTGCTTCATCCTGGATGGTGTCAAGCTTCTGCACTGTTGTTGCTGCTGCTGCTTTCATCCAGGTGGGGAGTATTCCATTACACTCCTGTTTTAAATCTTGTAGAAGGTTTACAGGCTTTGAGGAATCAGGACGTGAGCTGCTAGCTACAGGAATCCTGCTCCTGTAACAACAGTATTTACATGGCTCGTCTAGTTCAGTTTCTAGACAATGGTAAGCCTTAGGATGTTGATAGTGGGGGATTCAGAATTGGTAATGCCATTGATTCTCAACACCTGAAATGCTTGATTCTCTTTGTTGTCAAGAATCTGCCAATCTCAATCTAGAATATATTCCACAACTGAGCATCTATCAGCTATTGATCTTTTGAGTTACAAGAACATGTCAGGTCTCTCTCTCCAAAAATGAGTTCCAAGAGTCCCGGCTAAGCTCTTTTCTTTTTAAAAAGGTCTGGAACTTCAGACTCACCTGATCCCTCACTTGGAGCTTCCTGATCCCCAGCTAAGTAAACTAATAGATGGTTGTAAAAACCAAAAGAACTGCAGATGCTGTAAATCAGGAACCTACCAGACCCAAAACGTTAACTTTGATTTTTTCCTTCACAGATGCTGCCAGACCTGCTGAGCTTTTCCAGCAACTTTGTTTTTGTAATAGATGGTTGTACAAGGTCTCAAATAACCTTGGTGTGAAGAGGATACAACATTTGGTGTCACAGCTGGAATTAAAAGTTGGAACCCAAACTGTTTATTTATAAATACTATAGCATTGCTTAGAGCAAACTAGAGGCAATGATTTTTCATAATAACAGGAAGATGAAAAAATTATGACTTATGAATTATGAATATGTTTCAAATCAGCCTAAAATATTAGAAGTTTGCTGAATAAGTGGCCTTAAAAATACTCCATTAAAAGTCCAGAGCAACTTTCAGAGGAATTCTTGAATAATTTGGAAACAGCATATACAGGACTTCAATAAGCTTTTTGAACTTAAATTTCAAGGCATCAAGTAAAGGTCTTAAATATTAAGAACTGTTTCACAAAATTTAGTCAAACATACTTTTCCAGTTTATGTATTTTTCTGGAATTTATATTTTGACATTCACACATAATATTCATCCCACTAATTAATTGGGTTTCCAAAATGTGAAATTCAGAACTTTTCAAACTCATTTAATTGTTTCTTTCTATCTGCCTCATGTTTATTTGTCTTCTTGAACAGTGGGAGTTCAATGTAGACCTCTGCCCTTAGTGCAAACATAACTGTGGCCTTCAGACATTTGAAGTCTCAGTGCAAAATTAAAATATAAAATTCAGGAGAAGAGTCTTTACAAAAATAAATCCATGTCTGGGGACCTAAATTTTAGCAGGACATAAGCAAACTATTGTTTAAAAAAAGGGGACATTTGATAGCTAGTCATGTTTAATAATGTTAAAATGAAGTATCTCTCATCCTTCCCTGGCTGTTTCAGTGTAATCTATTTGCTTTAATGTCATGCCAATCGTAATTTTTACATTAAAAATCAACTGCAGTTTACAATTTCCTATTGCCTGACACACACTAACATCCTTTATAACACAATCACTAATAACCTTGTTCCAGATCTTTGAATGCTTGTCAGTGCTCCCAGAAACCTCATAGGTATAATGAGTTATTTCAGCAAAGAAAGCTTCATCACATGCCTATCATCTCAGCCTATAATTATCCTCTAACCATCAAAATCATTCCAAAACACTAATCCTGCTGCTTCTGAAAAAAGTCAAGAATTACCTGTGTCTGCATTTAGCCTGTTCCAAATTCATTGCTCAAAGTTTGCTCAGATTTCACTCAAGACTCCATCACGAGAAAACTATGTTCCCTGTTTCAGGTTTAACCTCCTAGTCATGGGATCAATGGCACAAGTATAAAGTGCATTTGTCTTTAAATCTCAATGAGTTTGGATTAGAGGCTCAAAGAATTTGGATCTTGTTTCTATAAAAGCATATTCTAATAGCACTTGATGGGTATAGATTGTCCAATATAAAATTAGCTAGAATATAATTTTATTTAAATTGAAAAGCCCAGGTAAAGGTTAAAGGTTCATAATATAAGACATGTGAGCAAAGAGGAAATAAATCAGGAAAAGGATCAATTAATACTAATCTTGAGTTGTAAAAGCTTCATGATTGTAGGAGAAAGGGAGAAAAAAGTTCAAGAGAACAGTTCTAAATTGATAAATCAAGAAAGAAATAAGATATCTGAGAACCATTTCAGGACAATGCAACATCTGATAATTCTTCTCTCCAATCTCCATGAGAAATCAAAGTTGTACCACAGACAGTCCAAGAAGATTTCACTGTGTGGATAGATTGGGAAATTGAAGCTGTTCTTCTTGAAGAAACAGTTAAGAGGAGATTTGTTGTAAGTGTTTAAAATCATGTGGCGTCTAGACAGAGAAGAAAGAGAGAAACTGTCCCCGTTGGCAAAAGGATTGCAGACCAAAGGATTTTCTGAAGAAGGGTCTCGACCCGAAACATCAGCTTTCCTGCTCCTCTGATGCTGCTTGGCCTGTTGTATTCATCCAGCTCTACACCTTGTTACCGCAGACCAAAGGAGATCAGTTTAAGGTGACTAGGAGGAAAAAGCCTCATTTGATAAGAGAAGCAGCTTTTTATGTAGTGAGTCATTAGAAACTGGAATGCAATGCCTGAGTGTAGAAACAGATTCAATCAATACCGTCATAAGAAAACAGTGTATCTGTAGATTTGCAGGGTTACAGGGAAAAAAGACAGGAGAGTGGGACGAGATAAGTTGCTCTTGCAGAGAACTGATCAGATATTGGCTGAATCAACTCCACCTGTGCTGTAACCATGTTGCAGTGCCCTGAGAATTTTATCAGGTCTTAAGTATATTAATCTATCTCCTTAAAAGTAATCTTGAACTTCCCTCCATCATCATCCTACAGTATATAAGATTTTAGATTCCCAAGGAACTATGTTACAAAATGGTAGAAATATATATGTAATTGATATTCCCAGCAAAGTTATATTTCCCATACTCAGCAAGATGTGCTTGATTCAGGTCTTGTCTGACTGTAACACCCTCTTGCTTCAGGAGAACGATATTGGGAAGGAAAGGAAAGGAAGGGAAAAAACAGGACTTGGAATATTATGGTGGTTGCAAAATTGTATTAGAATTGTCACAAAGTTCCCTGCTGACATGCAACAGTTATTCTAAATTGGTAACACGATATTGTAGGCCTAAAGCAAAACTAAAATCACAGACTTTCTCCACAAAGCTGTTAAATGCAATCACAAAACTGAACAAGTAAAAATTCTGAGAATATACACACTTCTAACCAACTTTGGAGTCCAGCAATTCACCATTTGACATCAAAGTGTCATCCTTAGTATCTGTTGAGACAAAATGTTTTAAATTATTATAACTGCATTGGAATTAATACATTTTCAACAGAACCTGCCTAAGAAAATGTTATCTGTATGTCTAGGTCATATATCCATTGAATTATTAGACCTTACCAGATAGGGATCAGAGATAGATGGGACTCAAAAATGCCTGCGACAACGCTTTTTCTGACCCAATTCCTCTGGCAAACATGGTTTTCCTGAGGTAGGTTTACGGCCAGCAGAGTAGCCAATTAGGTTCATTAAAGTTAAAGGAGACCAACCGAGATTTTCCAATCAGCCTCCAGTTTTCAAACCTGCCAAGCAGCTGTGTAACTGCCAGGAAATAGCTGCCCACTAGCAGACTGAGGTATAAGGTGTTAGTATTCCAATAGTCGACAGACCCTCCCTGCTTGCCTGAATGCAATGTAGCTAAAGGACACTCTGTAAAGATATTCTCCCTCAACCTGACCAGCGTGCTGATCTGGCTGATTAATCTGCTTTTATTTAAGGTTTTACAGGGAGAGTGCACCCCCATGTTGAACCATCCTATCACTTTCTTTGCCTCTGCTTGACCTGGTGCTCATCTTGAGCAGAACAGCCTCTGATAGGCCAACCAGTTTTGAGAGCTGAACCAACACACTTAATTGGACAGAGAACCTGCCTCCACTCCATAAGAGATGGTAGTGTAATGGTAAGCCACTGAACTAGTACTCCAGAGGCTCAGGTTAATGATTTGATATGTGAGTTCAAATCCCACCATACATCTGGAGTTCTAATTTATATACACCAACAACACCTCCACACAGAGACAAGATCACCATGCTCAATGGGATAGATTTTGAACAGATCTAGCAAATCAGAACTGCAAATCCATGAGGCACTGTGGGCCATCAAACAGTATTCACCCACAATCTGCAGCCTCAGATTTGGACAGCATGGTGACCAGTGGTTAACACTGCTGCCTCACAACGCCAGGGACCTGGGTTCAATCCCAGCCTCAGGCAACTGTCTGTGTGGAGTTTGCACATTCTCCACATGTCTGTGCGGGTTTTCTCCAGGTGCTCTGTCAGCCATGCTAAATTGCCCATAGTGTACAGGGATGTGTAGGTGAGGTTGATTAGCCATGGGAATGCAGGGCTACAGAGAAAGGGTAGCAGGGGTGAGCCTGGATGGGATGCTGTTCAGAGAGTCACTGTGGACTTGTTGGGCTGAATGGCCTGTTTCCACACTGTAGGGGTTCCATGATTCATGGCCCAGCATATACACCTCGCTATTGTTACCATCAAACCAGAAGCTCATCCCTAGGTCAATGAAGTGTGCACGACTGCATTCCAGAAGCAATGCCAGGTAAACCAGAAGATAATGTACTAAACCACTGATCCTACAACACACAGGACAACTAGCATGCTAAACAGTGGAAACAATATACAATAGAGAGAGCTAAGCAATTCTACAACCATTAAATCAAATCAAAGGTCTGTAATCCAACCACATTCAGTAATGGGTGGTGGTTGATAATTAAACAACTAGCAGGAGAAGGCTCCACAAATATTCCATCCTCAATGATGCAGAAACCCAGTATATCTGTGCAAAAGACAAGGATGAAATATTTTCAACAATCCTCAACCAGAAGTGCTGAGTAGTGATCCATCCTGCCCTCCTCCAGCATCACAGACCAGTCTTCAGTCAATTCAAACCATTCCATATAGTATCAAGAAACAGCTGAAGGCACTTGATACTGAAAAGGTTATTTGGCCTGACAATATCCTGGCAAAAGTACTGAAGACTTATGTTTCTTGGCACCCTTTGCCAAGTTGTTCCAGTACATCTAAAACACTGGCATCTATCCATCAATACAGATAATTGCCCAAGTATGTTCCATCCACAAAAAGCAAACCAAATTCAACCTTGCCAATTACCACCCTGTCTATTGTCCATCATCAACAAAGTGATAGATGGGTCTTCCCCAGTGCTAAAAGTGGCACTTACTCAACAATAGCCTGCTCACTGATATCTGGTTTGGGTTCCTCCAGGACCATTCAGTCCTGACCTTGTCACAGACTTGGTCCAAACATGACAAAAAACTGAAGTCCAGAGGTAAGGTGAGAGTGACTGCTCCTAACTACCCCACAAAAAGCCCTATCAAAATGAGAGTCAGTGGGACTGAGGAGAAGACTTCTTCCCGGTTGGAGTCACATGTACCACAAAGAAATATGGCAATGGTCTTTGGAGGTCAATCTCAGTCCCAGCACATCATTGCATGAATTCCTCAGGATGGTGTACCCAACCATCTTTAGTCGCTTCATCAAAGACATTCCCTCCATCGTAAAATCAAAAGCAGGAATATTCACTGATGGCTGCACATGTACAGCACCATTTGCAACTCCTCAGATAGTGGAACAGCTCATATCTGCTTGTAGAAAAACCCAGAGAACATGCAGATTTGTGCTGATAAGTGGAAAGTTACATTCATGCAACACATGGACTACCTTCAAGAAGAGAGAATCCAATCATCTCCCCTTGAAATTCAATAGCATTAGCATAGCTGAATTCCCCCATTATCAATAGGCTGGGGGCTACCATTAACTACCATGAGAGGAGGTGATGGCCTAGTGGTATTATCGCTGAACTGTTAATCCAGAGACCCAGATAATAATAAACCAGGGTTTGAATCCCGCCATGGCAACTGGTGGAATTTGAGTTCAATAAAAATATGTGTAATTAAGGATGTAATGATAACCATGACTTCATTGTCAATTGTGGGGGGAAAGCTCATCTGGTTCACTAATGTCCTTCAGAGAAGGAAACTGACATCCTTACCTGGTCTGGCCTACATGTGACTCCTGACCCACAGCATTGTGGTTGACTCTGAATTAGGGATAGATAATAAATGCTGCCTAGCCAGTGACGTCCTTATCCTGTTAATGAATAATAATTTAAGAAACTGAACTGGACTAGATATGACAAGTTATTGGTTGGGAATTCTTTAGTGAGTCACTGACCTCCTTTCTCCCCATTGTCTATCCACCATCTACAAGGTACAAGTCAAGAGTGAGATGGAATACTCTCCACTTGCCTGTACAAGTATAGTTCAAGGAGTTCTACACCCTCCAGCACAAAGCAGTCCATTTGATTGGTACACCATTTATCACCTTCAATATTCAATCCCATTACCACTGACACATGATGGCAGCAATGTATATCTTCCACAAGATGCACTATGCCTTCACTGCATCTTCTAAATCCACAGTCTCAACCAATGAGAAGAACAAGGGCAGCAGGTGAATGGGAACACCACGACTTGCAAGCTCCCCTCCAAGCTACACACAATCCTGACTGGAAACAATATTGTCATTCCTTTACTATTACTAGGTCGAAATCCCAGAACTCCCTTTCTTACAGCACTATCCCAGGGACTACAGCCAATCAAAACTTGCCTAGTTGAGTGCACCTCCAACAGTAATCAAGAAGTTCAACAATCTTGGATAAAGCAACCTGCTTGATTGACACTACATTGACAAACATTCATTTCCTCCACCACCAAGCCTCAGTAGCAGCAGTGTGTACCATCTACAAGATGCACTGTAGAAATTCACCAAGGCCCCTTGGAAAACACCTTCAAACCTCACAGCACCACCCTCTGAAAGGACAAGGGTCGCCAATACATGGGAACACACTACCTTCCAAGCCACTCACCACCCTGACTTAGAAATATGTTGCTGTATTTTCATTGTTATTAAGTCAAAATCCTGGAGTTCCCACCCTAACAGCATTGTCGGTCAACCCAAACCAATGGGCTGCAGCAGTTTAAGAAGACAGTTCACCACCATCTTCTCAAGGGCAACTAGGGATGGGCAATGATTGCTGGCACAGTCAGTGATTTCCACCTCCCATGAGTGAATAAAGAAGTTCAGTGGTCCCCATAATAAAAATCAGGAAATGCATTAAAACTGCAAATAAAAGTCCATAATAAATAAATGCATCACCTTTAATTTAGCAAACTGGTACAAACCTTGTAATTCTGCAGTTCCTAGCTGACACATAACTCCCAGTGTAAAGAATATCACACCTGACCACATTGTTCGTCATTACTGATTCTGGAACCAGGAATCCCGGATTCACTGAAACCTACAACAGTAATAAGAATGATTAGATTAGAATAAAATAAAGTATGAATAATTCAACCCCAATGGGGACTGCATTCATTGTAATAATGATGGGGAAAGCCCCACATGCTAGACAGTTTATCTCAGTTAGCGGTAAAAGAAGGCTATTGTTGGGCTGGGATTTTCTCCACGTCAGGAAACCTGGAAATTACAAGCTTGTCTCAAATACATATTTCCCATTTTCAGAGGTCAGGTTTTTGTGAGCACAGTTCATAAAAGTAGCTGGCCATTTAAATCATCAGCTGCATCCATGACAATAAGATTTTCGATAGCTTTGGGGCATGAAACCTAAGTGTGTGCAATAGCCTGTGAAGAACAAGTCTGAATTTTATGCATTCCTTTGAATAGCCAGGATCCCTTATAGAGAGGTGGAAAGTGCTCTTTGGCTGTGGTCCCAGGACAGCTCTAGTGGAGGTGAGGTAGATTTTGGAATTGGTCAGTGGCCTTTGGGATTTTTAAAAGTAAGCGTAAATGTGTGCAGAAGTTGCATAAGCTAATGACTGGAAAGCATATAGGAACTGTCAACGTATGTGTCAGAATCAACTGTCATAACTTTCAGAAGCACCTGTCAAAAAGACCCTCATAAGTGTCAACAGGAGCCCTCAAGAGGACATGTCAAAACTGACTGAAGCACCTCTCAAAAGGAGCTATTGAGAAGACCTGTGAAAGGGAGCTGTCAAGCTTTCAACAGATTTTAAAGTCTTGCCATTTAAGCGTTTGGAAGAAAACACAACTGGAATGTTAAAAAAGGATTGACTGCTATTTCGCCCCGTCTGTTGATAAGGTTGAGTGTCTCCATGGCTGTATTAGCGCTGCATAACTAATGTCATAACCATCAGTTGTCACAGTCAGATGCTTGCGATTTCATGGTTAAATTGACAACTGTAAGTAGTTATAGACTATTTGATGTGGGACAATGAAGGCCAAGGCTGATTGTTAAAGGGGATTCTGCCCTTTATTAAAGCATTTATTGTTTGAAGGTGAAGGAATATATATGGGTTTTCATGAATGAGAGAATTCAATATTGTGAAGTCTGTAATGGATAGTTTGAACTTTATTTTACAGACTTTATTTTACTCTGTATGGATTCTGAGGTCTGTCCATGGTGGATACCTGGTGAATTGACAAATGTTTATGTAAAGTCAAAGAGTAGTGGGTGTGAGGATACGCTTTGACACATAAAAGGGCAATAGGACAAGTGCATCAGCATATTTCAGCAATGGTGGGTACAGGGGCTGCAATTGCTGGCAGGAGCAGGGTTGCTTGACATAGAGGAATGAAGGGTCATGGAGGTAAGTACAGGAGCATATGATGGCATGAGTTGGCATGGATGGAGCAAGGGATGGGGAAGTGCCTCACTTTGAATTTGGAACACTGTGCCAAATCCCCAAGACAGGCCTTCTGCTGGCCACCTCCACACCAGGCAGCCTCCATAGTTCCTCTGGAGTTGCACATTCTGGCTTTTAACTCTCCACCAAAAAGTGAACATTCAGGCATCCATTTCTAAAGGTCATGTTTACACAACCTGTCTCTGCGCACCCAACCAGAAAACCTTGGCCTTTGTCTGAAACTATCATTACACCATAAAAGTCAGCCAGAGTTCCCATTTTTGATTGCTAAGTGGTGTTTTGATCCAGAAAGTGAGTATTTCAGCAAAGAACATGATCTGCCCTAGCTATGGCGGACGGTTGAAATTCACAGTTATCAAAACCCAACCTGTTGAGCAGATTTGGGTCAGGCCACTCATTTTATACTCAACAAGCCATTGCAAAATAAAATTGGTCGAGATGCTAAACAGGTGCAAGAACAGAACCCACAAATGAGTGATCAAGATTAACCTCTCAACATCTCGCCTCACACATGCAGGGTAGTCATTCATGTGAGGTCCTAAAGGTGACCTGCACCTGTGAAAACCATATCCGAGGAACCAGGGAATTCTCAATAACTTTGAGTCCCATATTCTGGTGAGGGTCAATGGCTGGGAATAAAGAAATGTCCATGGAAAGAGACTAAAAAAACAAATATAGAATCAAAACATGTTCCTGAAATTCTTTGATGTTAAATTTGTTTTGTCACTCTTTCCAAAGAAAATCAGAGAATTGTATATTTTACAGTGAATTTGTTAATCCCAAATGGAGACAGAGCATGTTTTAAAAAATGAGTAGCATGAGAAAAGCGTGGTGCTTACATTCCACTCCTTCTATTATCTCAAAGTCTTGAAATTGGAGTGAGCCTGAATCAGAATGTGATGCCAGTGCAGTGGACAATGCAGATGCCTAAAGGTACCAATAGTAGGATCATGGCAAGTTACTCCTTCCTCTTATTAGACTATTACTGGTAAACAGTTCACATCACTTTGACACCTGAGTAGCAATATGCTGCTTGTAATGGGGGGACCACACTGGCTTGGTTGGACAACAGCTGAAGGCATCAGGAAAGTCTGGAAAAGATTGTAGACAAATCACTAACAGTTTCCCTCATTTAATTACGAAGATGGAAGAAGCATTCCTGATAAGTGAAAAACATGAACCTTCCCTTTTTAGTGGCAGTTTCCAATGAACACTTTAAGGACCACAAGTTCAGCCAGTGAGCAGCTTAAAGAGGTGGCAGCTTTCATTGTCTGACTCACATGACTTTCACAGTCATTCACAGTCCAATTTGAAAAAGGGTCCTGAAGCAAGAATGAGTCCAATGATTTCCATATGAATGTGCTGTTTTAAGTGCATATCCTAGATGCCTACTGTGTAGACATAACCAATATGATGGACAGCATACTTCCTGCCAGGAAAGTACACACACAACATCTACAATGCTGGAGCCTTAGAATCCTGTTTTGGACTCCGTTCAGTGCCAATTGGTTTTCAGGCCAAGGTTTGAATAGAAATCAACTTATTCTTTTCTGTTCTTCAGCTTACAGCTTGTTAAAAACTGGCAATCTCTTGGTGGCATCAGCCATGAGCAGTTTTGGTACAATGATATAGTGAGAAATCAGTGTGTATTTATGTAAGAATAAATACCAACTGACACTCCCAATCCTGATCGCTGTCCAGCATTTGCAGCTGCAATTGTGCCTGGAAGTCATGCGAGGACAAAATCAGCCTCATATGCAGTTCCACATACTTTATGATAATCTGCCAACATTCACCGTCTATGTTCATATGTGATGATTGATCAATGGGGCATCAGGTGGAGCCAGACAGCACATGTTTAACTTGCAGCCAAGTCAAAATCCACTCCTCAGAAGAGTAGGGAAAACTGAAATGAATTAAAAATAAAAGTACTGACATTCTTTCATGCCTCTGTCACATTTTTCAGGCAGGGATGTGGATGGCCTATGTGAGATTCCTCAGGCTCCACGTTGGGCAGTCTACAGCAGCCTGTGAATGCCTATTCAAAGTCTACTACAACTTCCAGCAGATTTTTTTTCCCCACTTCCCTGTATCTTGCATCTTAGAAGGATTGAAAATTGCAGCTGAGTTGCTATAAACCCAAGCTAAAAATATTTCAATTCAATTAATGAATAAATTGTGAATAAAACACTAGTCTCAGTAATGATAATCAAAGTGCCAGATTATCCTAAAAATCCATGCATTAATGTTTTTCAGGGAAGAAAATCTGCCTTTCTTACCTGGTCTGGTCTACGTGTAACTCCAGACCAACAACATTCTAGTTAAATCTTACCTGCATTTTGAAATGGCCCAGCAAGCCACTCTGTTGTATCAAATCATCACTGAAAAGTCAAATAAAAATAAAACCAGATTGATCACTCTACTGACTTAGATACTAAAAACAACAAAGCACAACCTGCCCAGGCAATCCAGCAGAGTCTTCTCCACTATCCTCTGGGAATCTACACCAAAATAAGAAAGGCAATCCCACAGATCATTCTAGCCACAACCTGACATAGTTCTAATCAACAAGTCATGCATTATACCTAACATGACAAAATGCCCCATCACCATCCCTCATGTGTCCAGTACAATGAGAAGGATAAATAAACCAGAACTGGTGCACATTGGTTTGCAGGGAGGTGGTCCTGGGAGTGCTTCATATAGTGTCTTGACCCTGTCTCCCTCAGGGAGGTGCAGCGAAGTAAAGGGTATCTGACCCTAAGACCTTTGCCCAACTCACTTTTCTACTCCAAAACCTGTGCACAAAGCAGGCTGAGAGAAGAGAGGAACCCAGGCTAAAAGGCAACCTGCTTCCAACTCCCACTTCCATATGTATTCTGCCAAAGTCAGCTCATAGACTGAACACAATGAACACAAGGTCAGTGTTAGTTAAACCCAAAGTGTCGGTTCAGACCTGATCCTCACCCAGTTCCTGGTGAACAGAACTTGGGAATTAGCCTATCTTTCTAGCTCTGCTTCGCAGTCAAAAAGGCAAATAAACAAAGGTTTTATTAGCTAGCTCTGCTGCTTGGCAGTTTTTAAAATGGTCATTATTATTAACTGTTCTTAATTTAAAGTTAAGTTTAGAAACAAAAATAACAAATTGATGGATAAAGTTGTGCCTTAAACCTTCTGAAATTTGTCTATCAACCCCGTGAGTGAGAAAAAATAATTGAGATATAGTTCCACACATGAAAGGTGTGGACAACATCTGGTATATCCTCAAACAAAATGATGGAAGGTGTCATCAACAGTGCAATCAATTGATGCTTACCCAGCAATAATCTGATCACCTTGCTTTGTTTGGGTTCCACAAAGATGACTTGGTTACAGCCCTCAGTACAGTCTCAGTCCAAACATGTACAAAAGAGGTGTTGAGAGAGTGATTGCCTTTGGCCTTAAACTAATATTTGACCAGTTGTGGCATCAAGACATCCTAGCAAATTGAAGTCAATGGAAATCCAGAGAAACTTTCCATTGGTGAGTGTTGTACTTGATCAAAAGGAAGATGCTGAAGGCCATCTTCCCTGCCCCAGGACATATGTGCAGAATTTCCTCAGCATAATTCATCTTCAATGACTTCAATGATTTTCAATCAACATTTGAAGTTGGGATTTTGCTGATGATTGCATGGTATTTGGTTCCATTCTTTAGATACTGAAACAAGTTTGTGTCCAATTGCACCAAACCCTGCACGATGTTTAGATTTGGGATTGTTTGTCATTTTTTTATTTATCATTGGGATACAGGTCTCACTGGTTAGGCCATTTATGACACATCCCTAGTTGCCCTTGAGTTGGTGATGATGAGTTGCCTTCTTGAACTACGACAGTCCATTTTATGTAGGTGGACCCAAAATGCTGTTAGGGAGGAAGTTCTAGAGTTTTCATCTAGTGACAGTGAAGAAATGATAAGATATTTCCAAGTCAGGATGGTGAATGGCTTAGAGGGGAACTTGCCGGTGGCAGTGTTTCCATATATCTGCTGTCCTCATTCTCCTAGACAGTTGTCGTCATGGGTTTGGACGGGGCTGTCTGAGGAGCCTTGACGAATGTCTGTAGAATATCTTCTGATGGTACACACTCCTGCTGTTGAGCATCAGTGGTGGAGGCAGTAACTGTTTGTGGATGTGGTGCCAATCAAGCTGGCTGCTTTGACAGGAATGGTATTTTATATTAGTTGTGTTTAACTGTATGGCATTGATGGATATTAACTGCAAATTTTTGTGTTTTTTAAGTAGGGGCAGACTGACACTGTGGTGATTGGTTTAGGAGATGCACTTTTGTAATATGTATCTAGAATCATAGAATCTCTACAGTGTGGAAGCAGGCCATTTGGACCATCAAGTCCACACTGCCCCTCTGAAGAGCATCCCACCCAGACCCAATCCCCTACCCTACCACTGTAACCCTGCATTTCCCATGGTTAATTCACCTAGCCTGCATATCCCTGGACACTGCACAGCAATTTTCCATGGCCAATCCACCTAACCTACACATCTTTGGACTGTGGGAGGAAACCGGAACACCCAGAGGAAACCCACGCAGGCATGGGGAGAATGTGCAAACTCCACACAGATAGCCGCCCGAGGCTGGGATCAAACCCAGGACCACGGCACTGTGAGGCAGCAGTGCTAATCAGTGCCACCGTGCCGCCCGGTATCTGGAGATAAAGGTGTATGAAAATTAGCTTCTGTTCCACCCTTCACCGACAGGCTTTCTAAATTTACCACACTGGTCTACCAACTGCAATTATATATATAAAATGAGAGATAAACACAAAGAAAGGGAGGGAATAAGTGAGAGATACAGAAGTAGGACAGGCAACTAGAGATGAGATGGATCAGTTGCCAGGCAAGCTTTTAAAATGTAACCCATTTTTTGTGACGCAGTTCTAAAGATTGAAAAGATTACCTTCAGTACATAGTTGCCGGGAGCGACGTCTGTTATATCAATCCATTGGCAGTCAATATCTGCATTGTATGTATCATAACAACCAGGACCTAATCCCTAATGGAAAAGTGGGAAGTTTAAAAGTTAAATGAGTTATACACTTACAGCTCTAAAATATGTTCATCTTTATTCTTTTAAGTGAGAAAGTACCAGGTTTGAACTTGATCTATAGTGTGCAGTGCCGAGTGGTTGAGGGAAACAAAGAAGAGAAGAAAAAGGAAAAACAGCTTTTTTTTTCTCTGGGGTACTGAAGAACAGAATCAAAAATGGCAGCGATAACAAATGAGGGCAATGATGCCCTCCACAGTTGAAAACGTAGCTGCCATTCACCCACTTTGCTCATATCAGAAAGGTGGTGAATAAGTCAACACTTATAAAACCACAATATACCCCAAGGTGAGACAGCAACTTCAGGGAATCAGGACAATAAATTGATGGACATAGGTGTATAGGAGGTGACTGAAAGTATGGGAGCATACAAATGATGCGCAATGTAATAATTGATGAGAGAGAACATGTCAGTAACCCAAGAGCTACTTAAAAAGTCTGTAGTCAAAGCTACGACTCATATATGCCAACCTGGAGACTCAGCAAAAGCATTAGCCTTCCCCATCATCAAAAAACCACTCACAGATAAAGGTAGTCTAGACGTAGTACTATATGACATTGAATTATACCAATGGACAGCAGCAAGATATGGCTAATTGCAAATTATGTAACAGTTATACCCAGTACATTGCACATATATACCACATGGTTGTTGCATAAATTGCAGGAATTTTCCCTGTATTGGTTGGAACAAGGTTGGCCAGGTGGATCTCATTGAGTATGAGTTCCCTGATTGGGGTTGTTAACCTGGGCCAATCAGGGATCCCTGGCTGACAGATATAAACAGGAGTCTTGGGGATTCTCCTCACTGTAGGGGCTGGCTCTGAGGTAGCTGGTCAGTGTCCATGTACTGTGCATGTGTAAATAAAGGGTGACTTGGTGACAGGATACCAGTCTCCGTGGAGTTATTTCACTCCGTCATTGCTTAAAAATATGGAATATATAAAACAGAAAGAGGCCAATCAGCACTGTACTCATGTTCACTCGTTGAAAGTCTAATTAGTCCCAATGTCTTTCTCTTTACCCATATGACTACAATTTTTTCTTTTCAAATATCCAATTTCCTTTTGAAAATTATTATCCAATCAGATTTCATAATTTTTTCAGATAGTGCATTGCAGACTGTAACAACTCAGTATAAAAAAATCTCATCTGATGTCTTTTTTGCCAATGGTAATGCAATCGATAAATTGTTACTTTTACAATTGTCACAGTGTCATTGAGACTCTCTCTTCCTCAGTTTCTGATCTCATCTCCCCAACCCCTTCAGCCTAACGCAATACTCCAATCTCCCCACTGCCACTCCCTGATCTTTTCTTCCCTCTTCCTTCAATGCTACCCCCATCTCCTAACTCCCGCTTGTTCCTATTTTAATGCATTGAAAGCTGCTGCCTATAGATGGGAATTTCTGAATTCTCACAGTATGCAGTGATAAGTAACATAGTGCAACAATAGCAGGTGTTCAATGGCTAAAGAAATACTGAACATGGGATCCAACAGGTACCTAGAGTGAAAGACTTGGAGTGACACTAATACTCGTCATTTAGTGCAAACAAAGAGCTGAAATTGCTTTCTATATGAAACCTGAATGTCTGTAGGGGTTCTTGAAAATCCAAATGTCAAAATCAAAGTTAGACTCCAGAAAAGGAACATTTGGACAGCACTGTTATTCTTTGAGGGTAGGGGGAATATGCTGATGCTGTATGAAAGTCCTCTCTGGGAACTCATTGTTTCTTTACATTATAAACAGCATCAACACACCTAATAGTTGATGTGGCTGCAAATCTTCTCTAATGTGCTAAATATTAATACCATTGCATCCGCCTACCTGAGTATGTGCTGTGCACGCATATCTTCTTCGGATGCCAGGGTCACACATAGTGTCTTCTAGACAAAAGCTAGCTTTGTGTCCTTCAGCTACTTTCCTCTGCGTGGTGGCCTGTAACAGATCGTAATGGCTAAACTGATCCATACTGTGATAGTGCCTGAAGTGAAAGAAATTCATAGACAATGCATTAGTAACTAGAAATGGATGCTCCCTGATATCTGGCCAGATGGATACAATCGTGAAACTCTGTCAAGCAGATCAAGAGTTTCAAAATTGGGTCTGTCCTAAGTTAGCTCAGAGCTGTGACAGAAGTTAGGAAAGCACAATTAGCTTCAATGTTCTTAAGATAGAGAGAAAAGAGCAAATAATCAAGGTTCCTACTCATGGTTCCTGTCCAAAAACTAACATGAAAAAGGTGAACTTGTGAATTCCAAGTTTGGGCTGGACTCTATTGTGATGACCATTATGGGTATATATCCTGCTGCAAATGTTCACATGCAATTATCATGTGGATCTGAAGCTGGAGGGTTTACATAGACCATGAAATTGTAATCTGTATGAAGGTAGAAAAAAGTACAAAGAGGAAACACACTGGCCAGTTTCAATCCCACTTCTGTTAGGCACAAGGTCATTAATCCATAATTCTGTACAAATTGAAAACAAGCTAACAATGACACTCAGATAAGCCCAGATGGCCAACTTGTATAACAGCTTGATAGATTTGTGTGGTGGGACTCCTTTTAAAAAGTTCAGTTTAAGGCAGAAACAAAAACAGAAATTGCTGGAGAAGCTCAATAGGTCTGGCAGCATCTATGGAGTTAATATTTCAGGTTGAGGGACCATTCCTCAGAAGCCTTCCTTAAGGCAGCATCAAGGAGCTTACTCTGAATAGTACTTTTGTCCTAATTAATGGCAGAATATTTGATGTTAACAATGAGTACCTGACATAAGAACAGATTTGGTTTGTGTGGGGCATGTTCAAGTTATGTAATAGTGTTATTACTGAGAACAGAACCATGGGTCTCTAGTAAATTTAAAGGGGAGGTTAAAAGTTTCCCTGGACCCAGAGTTAAATAGCTTTACATTAGTTTCTAGACCGTTCTAGATTTGCAATCCTGATCAAATAAATGAAGCCTCTTCTGGACACAGCAGATCATTCTTTATCAGTGTGTGAAATTTCTGTACCAATACCACCAGGCCAACCCTGGGAAAAAAAGTATCCAAAATGGTAGAAAGGAATCACATTTTTAAAAAACAAAGCATTTAAACAAGCACACATTTCTCCCCGTAAAGATAGGGAGCTTATCTCTAAAAGACTTTCCTGCTATTTAATATGGATATATTACTGATACTAAGTGGTTGCAGGACAGTACTACATGGAGATTCACTTTTTAAGAGCACAAATATATACATGTATGCCTGTACATGCTGAGAAAAACTGAAAACTGAATACTGCCCAAAAGCTTTGCATTTTTCAGTCCTGTGAGAAATAAGGCCTGTCAACTCTCCAGCACTACCTTGGCAATGTTACTCATACAAACACTGCTGTTCATTCTCAGAACTCAGTGCTTAAATATTTGTAATGTATGAGGGATCATTTTTCTTCCTAAGTGTTTAATATGAGAATGCCAAAACTCCTGGTTAAACTCACAATGGGTAGGACCTCTTTGAAATTGTGGAGCATTTGATCTCAGTGACTGAGCTTTGTTTGACCCCAACTGAACTACTTAGCTATAATCTCTTGAAGTTGCGCAATGATTCATCACAAACAGAGAAAGAATTGACAGAGGAAATGACCCAAGTGAATATAATGCATCCTTTGTTAGACATATGTGGCATTATTAATACTTTGAGAAGATCACTTAACCCCACTTTCCTGCCTACTATGCCAAGGCTAGAAAGGAGGGAAATGGAACAGGTCATGAACGAGAACAGCAGTATTAGGGCATTTCACAGGACTATGCAAAAACTGTAAAGTAAAAACCCCAATTAAAAGTAAAACGCTCACAAATGTAAGAATAAAATGCAATTTATTCAATCTTCAGATAAATCCTCAGCTTTATTAATAGGGATATAGAATCCGAGAGCAAGGAAATGATGTTGAACTTGTACAAGACACTTGTTAAATCTCAACTGGAATACTATATTCAGTTGTGGGTGCCACATTATAGGAAAGATGTGTATACATTGGACAGAGTGTAGAAGCAATTTACAAGAATGGATCCTGAATAAGAAACTTCAGTTATGTGGATAAATTAGGATTTCTTCTCCTTGGAGAAAAGGCTGAGAGGAGATTCAACAGAGATTTTCAAAATTATGAGCTGGCTAGAACAAGTAGATAAGGAGAAGCTGTTCCTTCTTATGAAATGAACAACACTGAGACGGCATAGATTTAAAGTGACGTGCAAAAGAAATAAGGTTGATGTGAGAAAACAAGTGTTCACTCAGCAAGTAGTTAGGGTCTGCCTGGTATAGACTGACTGGAAATGTGGTGGAGGAAGGTTTAATTGAGGCATTCAAGAATGCACAAAAACAGAAGTTGCTGGAAAAGCTCAGCAGGTCTAGCAGCATGTGTGAAGAGAAATCACAGTAAACATTTCCGGTCCAGTGAGCCTTCCTCAGACCCTTCTGCTAGACCTGCTGAGCTTTTCCAGCAACTTCTGTTTTTGTTCCTGATTTGCAGCATCCGCAGAAATAATGTGCAGTGAGTTGGGGAAAATGCAGAAGATTGAAGTTAGTTAATGATGCTGGTTTGAAGAGCTGATGCAGGCACGATGGGCCAACTGGCCTCCTTCTGCACCATAATAATTCTGAGATTCTATGAGGTAATTCGGTAATGCAAGTGAGATAACATTGTTAACATTTTATGTGACAGAGGTTCACACTAACACACACATACACACCAGCTTGATCCTAATCCTTGCAGTGCGAACATAGGGATGTCGTGAGATACACTTGTAAATTGAATCCAAAGTTCAACTGCCCAAATGAAGCATTTGTAAATGAGTTGAAGAGGATAAAATACATTGACTAAATATTTACCATGTTTCAAAAAACTTGAGGCATTCCTGAAAATGATGTGTGAACATGCAGTTTAAGATGATTTACTGTCTTACAGAGCAGTATTTGTAATTACAGCCTTGGCTATTCACCCATGCTCCTTGCCAGATTTGCTGATCCATGCACGGAACTTAAAGTCTACCTGACAGGGTACATTGCCAAAGTTGGGATTTAGCCCTGTTCTCTATCATGTCCACTAAAGTAACACAAGGGAGAATTTTAATGAAGGTTCAACTGCCTGGATGAAGAAGGACATGCAAGGGTTATTTGAGAAAAAAAATAAATCAGCTAAATATTTGTCATGTTTCAGAACATCAGTAATTGAAGTATCAGGAGAAATAATAGGGGATCGTTGAGCTCTATTACCAGTAATACTGTATGTTCCAATGCTACATTGCAATTGCTCAGAGCCACATGTTTCAGAAAAACTCAAATTGCGAGACTAATGGACGAAGCTCAAATTTCCACAGTGCAATATGTTGCATCTTATTTTGACTGCATCCTGTAAGCACAATCCTGCTTGGCATTGACTTTAGATACAGCAGTAACATTCGGCCAAAGGACTTATTTTGCTCAGAAGATTAGACATGTTTTGATCACACATGGAAGCAAACTCCGATTCTGTACTTACTGATGACAACTGTGCCATTCCCAGGTATGGCGTGGCCTATTTGGGAGGAAGTCAGCAGTCCCTTGATTTTTGACTCTTTGAGGAAACCGTAGAAGCACCCTAATACTGAGGTCACTTGTTCTGGGACTATAGGCAGACCTAAAGCAAAAAAGACAGACATGCTTTAAGCAGAGAATTATTTCCCAAAAAACAACGGTTATATGAGTCGGGAATCATTTTGAGCCAAGTATGTGAAAAGCACCACTCTTCCAATGTAATTATACTTAGCTGAAATGACAACAGTTGGACAAGAACCAAGAATGTACAGCACCTCCAAAGCATCTACATGAAGACAGACAAAACAGGGCAGGGGGTGTTTTGTGGCTTGATTTTTCATCTTTGCTTTACTAACAAGAGATAATTGAAAACTTGAAGGACTACTTTATCTACATAATCAGTCAGTAAAGTAAATGGAAAACTGAACATTTTAATTTGATAATCAGACTTCTAATCCAGTTCACAAATTACTGGACTTATTTGGGGGTAGTTTTCAAATTCAAATCCAGACAGTGACTTGGCAAAGCTGATCTTTCATCCTTTGTGGAATCCTAGTTGACTCACAGGGGTGAAATTGAAAATGACCTCCTATCATATGAAAATTGGATTACCTCAGATAAAACCATTCATTGGTGAACCTGCCAGTGAACATTTACAGTGGCATGGAAGGCTGAACAGAATTTGTGTGACATAAATTGACAGCTTTACACTTTGCCACTCCTTGATGGCTTGAGAAAGATCCACATAAGCCATTGGTTGATAAAGTATGTTGCCATTAAGTACATGAGCTCTGAGGATCTCAGTCAGCCCCTGGTCAGAGTTGATAGCTTTCAGCGGTTTCTATCGCATTGCTTCCACCAGAGGCAATTATTATCTTATATGAGTCTCAGCTCTTCAGCAAGTAGCAGCAACACCTCACATGCTACACAACAATGTTGTCATCAAACTCCAAGCTGCAATTGCTCATGATGTAATAAGAAAATGTACCATACAAGTAGCAAGGCGTAGACATACAAGCCAAGCTGCGCAATATATCGGCATACAAAGAATACACCTAGAGATTCTCCTTTTTTTGCTCACGGGAACCAGAGCTTTTCTGTGATCAGCCTGTGCTGTGCTTGATCTGATAGTGCTTGTTGATGCAGTCTAAAGGGAGCTGTAATCTGCATCCAACCCATAATCTGTTTGATTTGGAACACTGCTATTATATGATGCCTCATTTGGAAAAAATATTCCTTTCCCCAGCACTAACATATGTCATGATTTGATGTGAATACAAACAAACAGAAACAAAACTACTGTTATTGAGCAACAACAGGTTTTGCTCAATGTCAATGCAGATTTGGGGAACTAAATTGGTTAAGCAACCAAAAATAAAGCTTTCATCTTGAAAAGCTCATTTGTTTCATTTAAAAGAATGAATAAAGTTTGTTTTAATCCAAAATAGAAAGTGCTGGTGATTTTTTCAACCCAGACCACAATGATTACATAGCAGGCATCATCACTCAGCCAATATCAAGCCAAGGTTTAATGTTGGGTTGCCAGCTGTGAATTGAGGTAGATATAATAACAGCAGCTGTGGCTAAGAATGTTTTTAGACAGCAAATGTGGTTGGGACTGGGACTGTAGCCCAGAAACTGTGGTTATAAGGTGTAGTAGAAGCTACAAGGTGCATTTATGCGTTCAGAAGGCAAATTTTCTTGTGGGTTGATTTGTTTACAGCAGTGCATTTCACCAGCATTTTTCCTGGACCCACAATCAGAACTTCAGGTTGACATGCTCCAATACCATTAGATGAAACACATTCTGTAATACTCTAAATAGGGCAAACCCATCCTTGGTATTTTTCATGCAGAATCTTGGCTTTGTTTTTTTAATTCACTCATGGAATGTGAATATCACTGCTATGGCCAACATATGTTACCCATCCATAATTCCCTTGAGAAGGTATGGTGAGCCAACTTCTTCAACCGTTGCAATCTATGAGAGGAAGTATATCCAACATGCTGATAGGGTAGCTCCAGATTTTCAAATCAGTAAGAGAGAACGAATAGTGATAGTTTCACATTAAGATGATGTGTGGCTTGGAAGGATAGTTGAAAAGTGATTGTGCTCCCATTTGCCTGCTATCCCAGTCCTTCTAGATGGTAGAGATCATGGGTTTGGAAGGTGCTGTTGAAGGAAGTTTAGTGAATTGCTGCAGTGCATCTTGTAAATGTTGCACGTTACTGTCAATGTTCATCAGTGTTGAATGGATTGAATGGTTAAAGATGGTAGATGAGGTGTTGAGCAAGCAAACTGATTCGTCCCGAATTGAGTCGAACATCTTAAGCATTATTAGAACTGCACTCATCTAGGCAGGTGGAAGAGAGTTGAATAGCACTCCTGATCTGCACCTTATAGATGGTCAACAGGCATTTGGAAGTCAGGAGATAAGACACTTGATAAAATGCCTCAGCTTGTTAAGTGCTTTATTAATATACCTGGTCCAGTTAAAGTTGCTGGTCATTGGTTACTCCCAAAATTTTGATAGGGTATTTTGTGATGGTAACACTGTTGAATATCAAGAACTGGTTAAAATCTCCCTTGTCAGTGCCTGATATCTTTGTGACATATTATTGTTTGCTATTTATCAGCCCAAGTTAGAATGCTTTCCAGATCGTGTCATATGCAGGCATACACTGATTCACTAACTGTTAAGTTTCATGAGTGAACCAATCCAATTCTGACCTTATGTTAGTTGGAAAGTCATTGATGAAACAGCTTAAGATGTTAAAGCATATAACACTGGGAAACTCCTACAATAACGTCCTGAGAATGAGATGATTGGCCTTTAACAATCACAAAAAAAAACAACTTGTATTGTGTTATGTATGACTCCAACTAGTGAAGAATCTTCTCAATTCTCATTGAGTTTAATTTTCCTAGGACTCCCTAATGCAACCTTGTCAAATGGTGCCTTAATGTCTAGAGCAATCACTCTCACCATGCATCCAGAATTCAGCTCTTTTGACCAAGGTTGTAATGAAGTTGATAGATGTGTGGCACTGGCAGAAGCCAAAATGAGCATCTGTGACATTATTGCTGAGTAAGTGGCACTTAATAGTACTGTATCTATCTGATCATTTCCATCATTTTACTGATGCTCAAGAGCAGACAGAGAGGGTACACATTAACTGAATAAGATGTATTCTGTTTGTTATAGACAAGGCACAATTCTAAGGTTTTGGAGTAGATCTGTAGCTCGGGTTGTGGGTGTTGAGGTTGGTTGGCTCGCTGAGCTGATTTGTTGTTCCTTGGACATTTCGTTACCATGCTTGGTAACATCCTCAGTGCAGCCTCTGATGAAGCATCGGTGTGTTTTCCCTCCTGGTTTTTAAACTCTGGGGTCCGTTGCGATGGATTGCCTCACTTCCGGGTTTCCTCCGTAGTGGAATGTATATGGGGTTGAGTTCAATGTGTTTATTAATAGCATGCTTCGTGGAGTGCCATGCTTCCAGGAATTCTCGTGCTTGTCTCTGCCTGGCCTGTCCCAGGATCTTGGTGTTGTCGGACAAACAGGAAGGAAACTAACAACAAGAGTACATGAACACCAACTAGCTACAAAAAGACACGACCAATACTCACTCATCTCAATCCACATGGACAAGGAGAACCATGACTTCGACTGGGACAACACCAAGATCCTGGGACAGGCTAGGCAGAGACAAGCACAAGAATTCCTGGAAGCATGGCACTCCACAAAGCATGCTATTAATAAACACATTGAACTCGACCCCATATACATTCCACTATGGACGGAAGTGAGGCAATCCATCGCAACGGACCCCAGAGTTTAAAAACCAGGTGGGAAAACACACCGACGCTTCATCAGAGGCTGCACTGAGGATGTTACCAAGCATGGTAATGAAATGTCCGCGGATCAACAAACCAGCTTGGCGAGCCAACCAACCTCAACAAGGCACAATATCTGGGCAATTTTCCACATTTTGGGTAATCTATTGTTGTAGCTAGACTGGAATCGACTGGTTAAGGAGGTTATTCTGGGGCTTACTCTGGAGGACAAAGCTTCAGTATTGCAGTCACGATGTTTCCAGAACCATTACCCATTTCTGTATCCAGTACCATAAATCATTTCTTGATATCAGTCAGAGTGAATTAAAGTGCTGAAGACTTGCATTGGTGATGTTGGGACCTCAGAAGGAGGCAGAGTTTGATTATTAATTTAACGCTTCTGGCTAAAGATGGTTGCAAATGTTTCAATCTTGTCTTTGCATTGATGTGGTGTGCACCTTCCCTGTTGAGGAAGGAGAAGTTGTGGGGCATCCTTTTCTAGTTCATTGTTTGATCGTTCACCACCATTCACAACTGGATGTGGCAGAACTGCAGAACATTTAACTGATCTGTGGTCTGTAGGGTTGCTTTACTCTGTATATTACGTGCTGCTTCCATTGTTTAGACAAGCTTGGAACTGCCATTTGCTGTTCCACAGGAATGGAAAACAATCTATTGTTGGATAGATAGCACCACAAAAATTAGAGGCTCAGGTCTTTCAGTAGGCTCTTATTATGTGCTTTGTGGGTGCTATAGAAACAATTTGTCCATTATATTCCTTCATTGCTGCTCAGCAGACAGAAAAAGAGGGATCAGCAGTAAAGAAAATATTTACAAGGATGTTGCCAGGGTTGGAGGGTTGAGAGGCTGAATAGGCTGGGGCTATTTTCACTGGAGCATCAGAAAGTGGTGACCTTATAGAGGTTTATAAAATCATAAGCGGCATGGATAGGGTGAATAGTCAAGGTCTTTTCCCCACAATAGAGGGGTCCAAAACTAGAAGCCATAGGTTTGTATGGTGAGAGGGGTAAGATTTAAAAGGGACCTGAGGTGCAACTCATCACACAGAGGATGGTGCATGTATAGAATGAGCTGCAACAGGAGGCGGTGGAAGCTAGTACAATTACAACATTTATGTGTTGACTTTATGAATAGGAAGGATTTAGAGGGCTATGGGCCAAATGCTGGCAAAAGGGACTAGATTAATGTAGAATACCTGGTATGGACAAATTGAACCAAAGGGTTTCCATGCTACACATCTCTATGAC